TATCTCGAACCACGTCACATCAATGTACCCGTGGTTATCGACACATTTCGACTCTGTTGAGATTTGGATTTGGGTCACATAAATGTGCACCCGAGTTTAAGAAAGTAAATTGTTAAAGGCGCGCCTAAAGTGACTAGCGTATCATTATTTTGGGTAAGGCCGTGAAATTTGCTAAACGACCGATCCCGAAGTCTATACAATTATTAACCAATTATTGAGGGCCCCGCAACTTGTGCGTTTTATTGGGCGAGGCTCATCTCATTTATTTTAAAAGGATAATCCTAAAGTGCCTACATTTTTTCTATTAGATTTGTCTCTAAAAATGAAAGAGAAAAGGTCCTAATTTATTTAAATGCTTACGAGTTGTTATAGTTGGGTTCCGAATATGATTCATAAAATCTGAAAGTGATGCAAGCATGGCAGTTCGTTGCCAATGCGGGCCCAGGCCCAACGTGTATGGTACAAAACTGGACTCGGGCCATCTCACTCACATGTTACTACCTAGTTACATCATACTACACATGCTCACAGTTTGCCAAATTAAAGAACTTAGCAATCTAATTTTAATCCTAAACCATTTATATGCTGAAATTAACCAGTAGTATCTAGCTAAACAATATTCCTACAAATTCCGAAACGGGCTATTTGTTTAATGAGCTAACTGTTGAATGTTTAAGAATAGTCTAAATCAGCTAATATGCTTTTTGAGACATGATAATCATCAAACCATAACGAACTAACTGAACAGAGCTACTACACCATTAGTCTTTTTAACTAGCATACTTAGACAGTTCGTCCACTAAGCTACTGTCAGATGTTTCATTATATATATCAAACAACTACATGATTTTAATTAGAGGAAGTTAAATAATGTACATATACAACTAAAATTCAGAATATAACTAAGATAAATTCAGAACTTCAACTCTTCATTTCATATTTATGCTTCAGTTCCATTCTACAAGAACCAGTGTATCAATTTGTGTACCTGATATTGGAAGCAAAAGAAGAGAAAGATCAGCAAAAATGCAGTAGCATACAACAACAGCAACACCCCGTAACCAGTAACAACCAGCAACGAGAAACCAGTGACAGATTTTAAAATCAAGCAAAAACAAAAATCCAGCAATAACCAGTGAAGTAGTAGCAAATAACCATCCAAAATCAAGGAACAAACCAAATGAAAATCCAGAAATACCAACAACAATCAACGGGCAGAAATAAAGTGAACCTTTTTTAGATTGAAAGACCAGTTAATGTTTAACCCTTAAATTTTGACTCCGTATAACCCGTGTATTCAGAGTGTATATCGGATGTATACTACTCTCTCTTTAGATTTCCAGAATGTTTTTTCTGTTCCAAAAAAATCCTCAAATCTCTCTTAATGTTCAGAAAATTCCTCTATTCTCTCCCCAATCTCCTATCCCCTTTCAATATTTTCGGAATTCTTTTCTTTAACATTCAGGAAAACCTTTTTTTTTTCTTTGTGTCTAACCCCAAGATTTTAAAAGTCCTCTCCCAATTCTGCCCAAAACTCCCCTTATTTATGTCCAAAAACAGACCACTTTAAACAATTAAACAATAAAGAAGAGGTCCCATCTTCTTGAGCCCCGTAATCCCACTACTACATGTCTTGTCCCCCACTTTTATTAAACAAATGTATTATTCCCCACTAACATGTCTTGTCCCCCACTATATTATTTTAATACCTTATTTTAATATTATTAGCTTAGTGGACAGAGCACTCAAAATAAATAATTATCTATTTTACCCCTCTGAAATTACTGAAATTATCATTTTACCCCTGAAAATACTGCAATTTACCATTCTACTCCATCAGCTATAACCAATTCACCTAATCAAATTTCATCAACAAATCTAGGCTAGAAACTTAATATTTTTGACTGAACAATATTTTTAACAACAAACATACTTTCAGATTCAATAACAGTAACAAATTGAACATAACCAACAAGTAGATTCAAATCACTAAACTCAATAATCAATTGATCTTTAAATTAAATCTAACAACATGATTAAACTAAACAAGAACATAAAACAAACTGAAGAAATAATCAAGAAATGAATCAAACATATACTGATTTCAGATCCGAGAATATCAAACAAAATACGGACAGAAATGAAACTTAAACTAACTAACCGGAAATGAACAACGACGAACTCGAATGGAAACGAAAAACTCGAACTAAGACTGCCAACGACCTCGGCGTGAGATGAAGGGAGGATCCGGTGGGGACCTTTAATAATTATGCTCATAATCAAGCTTGAGTGAATATAGCAATGAAAAGCTGATTGAACAGTAATAAAGCAATCAACAAAAACCGCGACCAAGAACGGCTATCAACAGAACCGCGACGAACCTCGGACGGCTGCTTCTCTAGGGTTCGCTGGAGTTGGAGATGGAGATTTGGTGGTGACGGGACTGTTTGGTCGACGAGACGAACTGCTGGTCGTCATGGTGGTTCATCGACTTGGGTGATCGACTGAAGGATGTAACAGAAGCAATGGCGGGTTTGGGTGGTGTTCATGGCTAGACGTAGCAGAAGCGATGGTGGTCGCTTGGTTGCTGCTGGACGTCGAAGCAGCAGCGTGAGATGAAGAAGAAGAAGCAGCAGGTGAAGCTGGGGGTCGATGCATCAGCGCTGCTGCTCGTCAATGGCGGACGGGGGTCGACTTGGGTCGTTTTAATGGCGATGGACTAGTTCGTTTGGTTGAGGGTTGGAGTGGTTGGTCGACGATGAGGGGGTGGTTTGCTGGCTGTTAAAGACGAAGGGAGAGGGGGCGGGCAGCCATGGGAGGTGGAGCTTGGAGCAGGAGGTGTTTGGGGAAGAAGAAGAGGAGAGGGGGGCGGGTAGTTTTAGGGTTTTTTTAGGTTAGGGTTTCTTCAAATAATGAAAAATGAAAATGGAAGAAGGGGGGTTTGCTTGGGGTTATGGGGAGGACCGGGTCGGGTCGACCCGGTAGGAGCTAATTTGGTTTGGGCCTGGTTGATTTAAATTAAAAGGTGGCCCAATCCGATTTTCTTCTTATTTCCAATGCTTCTTTTTTTTTCTTCTTTTATTTTTCTTAAACTAAAACTAAATTCTAAAAATCCTAAATTATCCTATAGAACTAAATTAATTTATAAAAGTGCAAATTAACTCTCAATAACAATTAACACACAATTAAATAGCAATTACGATAAAATCACACAATTTGGACATTAAATGCTAAAAATGCAACGTACATTATTTTTATGATTTTTTGTTCTTGTAAAACAAACTTAATTGCTCCTAATTGTAGAATTAAATCCTAAATGCAAATGCGACATTTGTATTTTTTATTAATTTAACAAATAAACATGCATGGACAAATACAAATAATTATCAAAAATGCCACGAAAATTCTCAAAATTGCACACAAAGAAAAATTATTTATTTTAAATTTTTTGGGAGTAATTCTCTCATAGGGCAAAAATCACGTGCTTAAAATCATTATTCATCCTTCCTTTTCTGAAGTTAGATTTACCTCTCCTACTGTTTCTGTTTTTCCTCATCATGCTTGTTATAACTTGAGAGAGCATGGCTATGTTTTCATCTTGTTCTCCTCCTTCCTCTTCCTCTTCATTTTCTGGTTCAGCCACAGTTGCTTTGAATGCAACTATTTTCTTATTTTCTTGTTGAATTTGCCTGTCCAAGTGAGTTTTCTCAAAGGCAATTAGATTACCTCTAAGTTCATCATGGGACATCTTGTCAAGATCCTGACATTCTAGAGCAATACTTTTGGGTTGCCAAATAGTGGGAAGACTTCTTAGAATTTTTCTGACCTGTTCTCCACTTTATATTGGTCTACCAAATGACTTTAAATCTCGAAGGATTTTCCTGAATCTTGAAAACATTCCCTCTACTGATTCTTTATCCTTCATTTGAAATAATTCATAGTCCCGAACAAGGAGATTGATCCTTATTTCTTTCACTTTGTTGGTTCCTTCATGCGTGACCTCTAATTTATCCCACATTTCCTTAGCAGTTTCACAGCTCGATATCTTTTCATATTCTTCTCCACTGATAGCACTATACAACAGATTTTTTGCTTTGGCATTCACTATTATGACAACTGATTGTTCATTAGTGTAGTCATCTAAGTCAAGTGGATCAGTTAATACTATGACTTGACCATTTTCATCTTTATTTGGCAGAATTGGAAGATTTCCCTTTTTGATCACGCGTCAAAGCTTAATGTCATATGACAGTATGTTTCCATACGTACTTTCCAGTGAGAAAATTATAGCCCGTTGAAGTATGGAGGTCGTACTTGAGAGGTTCCTTCTTGAAATAGTGCTACAACAACTATGTTTGATCCCATGATCTTTTCCTCACTAGTTGTTAAGCAAAGTTTACGAGCCTTGCTCTAATACCAATTGAAAGTACAAGAGGGAGGGGGATGAATTGTAGCCAATTAAAATCTTGGTTGACTAAGTGTGAGTTTAGTCGACTAGGTTTTGCACAGTGAATAAATTTCAGTAGGACTGAAATAAACTAACAAAAAAGTAAAGAAGGCACAACAGTTTTTATACTGGTTCAGTACTGGTGTGGTACCTACCTCTAGTTCCCTTGGGTCATAAGGGTTCTCTTAGATCTTTGATAAAGGATTACAATAGGTGATGGTTTTAGTACATTCACCATCAACGATATTCAGCAACAGTGATCTTTGTAATGTTGACACAACTCCCTTTCGTGTTCTAACTCTTCCTATCTTTTATGACACTTATAGACTCAATAATATAGTGTTTGTACTAAGAACTAGAAAGGCTTAGAAAATAGTTTGTGTGAGTCTTCTTCTCGAAGTTTCTCGTCTTCTTATAGGAGAGATTGAATAGCCGTTGCAAATTGATCTTTGATTGAGGCACAAAATCCTTTCAGTGATTTAACCCAAGGGGTGCCTCCGAATCCTGCACGTGAGATGGGATGGATTCATTTACGTCCTTCCCTTTTCTATCCAAAATTTAGGGAGTGATTTTTGGCTTCCATTTGATTGATCAATCTTCTAATTCTATTCTAGTCCTTGAAGTATGGCTTGACATTTCATTGGCAGCTGCACTTGATATGTTTCCTTGTTGAGACAGCCTCATTATCCTTTGATTGAGACTAAAGTGTCTGGATTGATTTTATTTCCTTTTTGATGGCTTTGACTTCCTTTGATTCAACATTGTTCATGTTGCCTTTGATCTCGATTCCATTCTGATATTGTTGCCTTTGAACTCCCCTTGAAGTAGTGTTACTTCCTGATTTCCTACAATTAAATAGATGTGATTAGATTTTCACTATTGTCATCATTGAAACTTAGATGTAACAATTTTCCGGGACGGATCGGGTTCAATTCTGCTCAGTGCGCGACTTTGGTTTTGTAACTGAAGCTATCGCCGTCTAATGAGCCTGTAACATCTCGAAGTTCATACATAGATGTGAGCATGTGATTTTTGCCCTATATGAAATACTCCTACTGAATCCCAAGAAAATAGATTTTTTTGTTAATTATTTGTCATTTTTAGGAATTTTTCCAGAATTTTCTTAATTATTTGCATTTTTCTGTGCATGTTCAATTTTTATTTAAATCATGAAAAATACCAAAAATATCATGCATTAAATTTAGTATTTGTTTTTACATTTTTACAATTAATCAGTAATCATTTGTTTTATAGAAATTTGAAAATCACAAAAATAGCTCATTTTTACATTTTTGTCCTAGTTTTTAGTTTATTGATTTTCTTCTTTTAATTTAGAATTAAGTGATGTTTATAATTTTTATAATTAGTTAATTAGTTTAATTTCACATTTTGGATAGTTTAGGATTTTTAATTATTAGGATTTTTTTAATCAAAAAAAAAGAGAAGAAAAGAAAAGAAAAGAAAGTGAATAAAAGAAAAGATTTTCGGAAATGGGATAATAACCAAACCAATCCCAAAAATGCCCCAAACCCGTCCAAATTATCCAAAACCTAGGCCCAAAACTAAAACACACCAGGTCCAGCCCAGTCTAACCTCAAACGATCCCATTTTCCTTCTTTTAAATTTCAGTCGTTGATCACTTTGGATCTAACGGCTAGGAACTGGTCATTCATTTAGGATATAAGTGTCCGAATTAAGTCAACCCCCCCCCC